TGTGAGTAGCCGTGAAAACAACTGATTGTGAGTAGTCATGAAAACAACTGATTTTTGACCTTGGCAACGCCACCCAAGATCAATCTGCTAAAATAAGTAAATACAATAGATCTTTTTAAGATCTGAAACAGTTTTTTGTAAAACTTATATTTTTCGAGATATTTTACCGGTCCGATACTTTTGCCCCACCCTGTATATACATATACATATATATTGCGGAACTAAATATTTATTACATATATATATATGTAAAAATCGATTTTTATTTATTTCGTGAATGAATATCAATGTATCACTTATAACATACGTCTTACTACTGCGGATGACCTTATTTCACTACTTTGACCCTTTATATCTTGGGAAATATTGACTTTTGGGACTTGGTGCAATGATAACTTTTTATCAGCATGGCGAAAACTATAACATAGTGAAATTTCAGCCAATATTACCGAAAACCATTTTCCATAGGTTTTGTGCGGGGTCCTTTCTATATTCGCGACGGTCCATGCGCTGTAAAAATTTAAAAAAATATTGTGTTGGCTCTCTCTCTCGGATAGAAGAGATTCAATATTGGAATATCCGATATTATCGACTCTGAGTGTACCCATATATTTTACATTATTAACAGAATATTTTAAATACACTAACGAAAATTTTATATATGCTTCAATAGGAATAAATAAATTATATTAATTTCGTCAGAATAGAGAAATTCAACGCATTCATCGCATTCATCAATCAGGGCGATTTTACCGTTGAAAAGTAATTTCTACGCACATTTTCCTCGTTTCCAATGTAATATTCCAAGGAACTCGCTCGAAAGACCTTAAGTAGGTGCTTATTTATAACTCGTTTTAAGTGAGTCCATGACTAAAACCGAAGCGCGATGGTGAGGATTAAAGGCTGACGTTTTATAGCAACTTAGATTCCCAGCAGGATCGTCGTCTTTACAGTCGGTGACGCTATACCGTCGCAATTCCATTCGTCGAGTTCTAAATGTCGCCACCTAAAATCCAACTTCGCGACGTTGCTATATGCAGCTGACTGTGAAAGTCGAAGCGAAACGACTCGAACTATCAGCCAACTAGCGCCGTGACACTAACATCATTGGCATACGCATACGTATGTGTCACTAACGCTGCAACCTGTTGTTTTCCAGCTACGCGAACTTTATAATGGCGCCATGTTCCTCGTATGCGTTTGGCCAAATGTCCGACACGGGATTAGACTTGAGCTTAAAACGCATACGCGGGTAAAAGCGCAATCAGTGTATTTTTCACTAAAATACTATATTTATAACTGGTCGTTTAGTTATAAGTCCAGCACTGCAATCAGTAAACTCAGAAACATTTTTACTGATTCACTTCAAGATACGAAAGATCAGACAGGTAAATCTTGAATTTCGTAATTGTCACGCTATAGGTTTTAAGTGGGATGGATTACGTCTGATACTAGATGAATCAGCAAAAATGTTTCTGATTGTATCAATGAAACAGATATTTCACCAATGATCAGTGAATATTCCTGATTATATCTTAGAGAGTGAATTTAAATTAATTTCTTAATTGAAATTTAATTAGTCGTCATAACACTAGTCCAGCTTTTTTCGTTGCCATGATGGTTCTTACGATCGATCGTGAGCAAAGCCCCGCGCGAACAATCGCCGTGACAATTCCTCGACGACGTCTCGAAGTTTCAAGTCGCCGCGACTAATCCAAGTGGTTTACATGCGCGCTTGGTCCAGCGTAAGGCGATGCCTCGGAGTTGCCGCTGCTTAACGAATTCGGAGGAGAGTGACTCTCGAACAGCGCCGAAGTGAATAACAATTAACAAGCTAGGCTGCGCACGCGACTCCTATTTGCACACTGTACGAAGATACGTTTAGCTCGTGCCATTTCACGTGGCGCCTTCATTTCCATGTGCAAATAATATTTTGAGCCAATTTTCGCCTGGGCAACGAGCTCTAGCCAGCAGATCTACGCGTTCCGTTTTGCGAACAAAGAGAATGAGAGAGAGAGAGAGAGAGAGAGAAAGAGAGAAGGAAACATACGTGATCGACACTCAATTATCTCGCTCTTCGCATTAATTTTCGATTGTTGTGAGAGTAATTGGTTTTTTCTTCTTTCTCCTTCCTAATTGTAACTGACGGATGTGCGGATGAATTTTACGAGGCACGTTCCTCGATCAAGCTGGAATTTTCCAGAGAGAAAAAGTTCCTTCCCTAGGCGTGCTTAGCGATGTATTTAACGTCGAGGGAATTTGAAAGATGCATGTAAAGATCGCGCTTGCTCAGTTTTCATCGAGGAGAGCTCAAGCCCGGAGTTTCATCCGAGAGAGAACGCGCGCACACTCAAAGTTTGATACAAATCTTGCCTGCGCGGAGTAAGCTGTCTGCTTTCGGGAGTTCCGCGCGGGAGAGAGACTGATGATGACATTTTCTCAAACTTGGTATATAGCGCCCGGTACACATTCGCAGCCAGTTTGTCAAAGTTGCCGAGCGCAGCCCCTTTTGTCTCGATGCGAAACTGTTCCCGTCGAAAATAAACTCCCAGCGAGCGGATGCGTACGCGATGCGCGAGATATGCCTTGATAATAAACGAATGTACGAGACAGACAGGCAGACAGAGAGAGAAAGAGAACACGTTATACCTTCTCGTTCTTCTTTCCTGCGTTTTTTTTCGTCGTTTCCAAATATAAGGTACTATTTACGACGCCGCGCGAAGTCGTATCTCCACCTTACACGTTCCTTCCTAACAGGAATTTTATTATACTCTCGTGCGCGCATGCATCCGCCGCCCGGTGTGCTTGATTTACACTCCGTTTCCGCGGGAATGCAGTTCGCTGCGAACGGTTTGTCCGTGCCGTTTGGCGCAAATATACAGAGAGAGAGAGAGAGAGAGAGAGAGAGGGGGGGGGGAGAAGCAAGGGAGACACTGTAAACGTACGAGTCGCGACGCCCGCTGAATTTCGCCGCACTGCCGAAGCTGCTGCGTCGCTATCGAGCTAGAGACGCTTGCCGATCGTGTGCTTCCGCAAGCGATTCCGCCGCAGCTCTTTGCGGTCGCAACGTCTGCCTCCCTCTCTTCCCTCTCTCCCCCTCTCGTCGCTTATAAAACACAGAATTATGTTAATTTCGAGATGCTCCGTGCTATACGTCGAACGCAGCGGGTCTGTTGCGATCTTTCTCTCTCTTTGTTTTGCCGCCTTGCCTAGCTATGGAAACTAGCCTTGGTTTCCGAATGCGAGCGAAAAAGTTCCGGTCAAGAATAGAAGCTGAGATAATCCCGGGAGAGAGTCCCTGAGACGATATCTATGCGGGATGTTACTTTAAGTAATGTCATCTCTCACGATTGGATTCTTTTAAGTAGACCAGTCGGACCCCAAGGGATCGTCCGGAGGCCCTCGGCGTCTCGAGCCCGGCGACGAACCTCGGCAAGCGTCTTACCGAGACCTTTTCTCTCCGTTCGTCGTTCGCGAGGGTGTAAGGCGGATTACGGATAGCAGGCAGGCAGGCAGAGGTGTAAAACGCATAATAGCAAACCTCGTTGCAAATTGCGCCTAGCGACGGCGGTATTTTCAGGTCGAAGTGCGGCGAGGTCGCTTACCCTCTGAGATCCACCATCGGAGCGAATATTGTCTATTGTGCGTAATAAGGCTTCCAGAACGAGCAAGTTGCGAGGAGTTTCGCGCAAAGCGCTCCGTGATAGGGTGTCTCACTAGATCACTGCGGTTCTTTCACGGATCTGGTTCTTATCGTTTAACATTTTGGAAACTAAAAGGGTTTCGCCATATTTTTTTACCTGTCACAGTTTTCGTTAAGTTGTTCCACACGAAACTGTTTGGTTGCCTAATCCAGTGCCCGAGATTACTTGCTTATAGAAGTAGGGGAAAAAAATACCTCGAGGCGATTTTCTCGAGGACTACTTTCTTCCTTCCGCTCAGCCTCAGGACTGTCAACTTCGAAGAGACTTTCGGGATTCTCCCTTTATGAAAAGTTTTTATTATCACGGTAGAAAGGAATTAGATGCAGCAGCAGGAATCTGTGTGTGGTAACTGAATCTTGTTGTAACATATAAATATCTGAAAGTATAGCTGTTAGTAGACATATATTTAGCGGTGAAATCGTTGCTGTAGCAACACAGATGCAAACATTTTCGTTGAGGTAACAGATACATTTTCAGCAAATCATAATTAACTGCAGCAGAAAAATCTTTTTTTTTTTTCGTGTTTCTGCATTATATTATATTTCTCACACCACCAACACATTCATATTATAGTTATAATTGCGACAATAGGGCACTAGTTTCAATAAAAATTTTTCAGAAATTATGGAGAGTCCTGCTTATAAAGTTGACAGTCCTGAAACTAAGCGCCGCGACAGTGAATCGCGAAACGCGACGGCTAAGGGGAAAAAAGTAGGCGCAGACTTCGAAAATTGTTTCGAAAGTACAATTAATTTGACACTGGTCAAATCAATTTGCTACATTTTGTACTTAAGTAATGTACGTTAAACGTTCCACTCGAGTCGAAAAATCCAACAAAACTCGAGGGAGTTGAGTTCGCTCATTGTCAAGAGAGACTGCTCGCAGAGGATTTACTTGACGAGTTTAATGTCGTAGATAGTTAAATGTCGTTCTCGTGCACAATAATTGCGGTCGTTATACTGTTCTGCTGGCGAACGATCTTTCCTCGCGGCGTTGTATCCACCATTGCGAAGCTATTACTCTTGGAGGAATCTTTCGCGCATTTTCTTTAGAACTTTCCCGCCTTGTAGTTCCGATTCTCCATTGCACGTGTTGGCAAACTTCGTTCGGGGAAGTTCTCCAGCCGAGTAATAAGGAAAGCGTTAGAACGGGCCGTTCGCTAAATTTCACCGTGCGAAATATTCAAGATCGGTCCTCGGCAATAATGCGTTGCAAAATTTTCGACATAGCTCCGTAGCATGAAATAAGTGCTTACCGCGAAGTTATTAACGAAATCATTTCTGCATTTTCTTCCAGGTGAGTTTCCCTCTAGACTACACGAGCTAGCGGAGTTGGCACCCGGCCAAGGTAGGGCTCAGCTATGTGTCTGTTCCGTTAACACTCGCAATTTTCCAAGTCGTTTTTTGCTATATTGTGTGAACACTAAAAAAAAATATTTTCATTTGGTCCATTCCACGTAGAATTCTAAGTGTCACAGTTAAAATTTATCACTGTTTTTTTTTGTATTTGCTAGAAAATTGTCTGTACGTAAAATTGTATGTAGTGTACAATGGTACGTAAAATTTATTGCAGCAACATTTCAGCAATATCAGCTAACAAATTTGAGCGGATGTGAGGATTATACATTCATTTGTCTCTCACAGCTAGTCTTTTTTTGTCTACTATAGTTAATTTTTATGAGAAGTGTGACGGGCTTTAATCTAGACGAGAGCGCCAGATTTTCTTGCTAAATTTTACAAATAGTTCAAGTAGAGACTCTATCTTTGTCATCTATATCGATTATATGTAAAATATATGTAATATTGCAGTATTTGCTAATCACTTATCTATCTCGGCTCTAGTTTCTCGTATTAATAATAATTTTCACTACGACTGCAAAACCACCATGTTGAGTGAAGCATTATATCATTTCCACGGTGATTCATTTGAGACCCTTGTGTTGAGTTTTAATCAAGGATAAACGGGAAAAATACAACGTGGAAGTGTTCAGACAATACGATCATTTAAAGTCAAAGTAAGAATGTAACGAAAGGAATGTGGAATTTGTTTGATTCGAAATAATTCTCTTTTGACACAGTGAATTAAATTCCTTTTGTTCGAATATTATTTGGCATTTTTAGAAATATATTAAATTTATAAGTATCACACCCCCTATATAAAACAGTTGAAAGAACTTTTCTCGCAAAGGCGTGGCGTATAGCAGGGAATATAAATTATACAGTCTGATTTCGCACACAAAGAGTCGGACGGGGGACTCTATTCAGGGTTCAAGGCGCGCGGGGAAAATTGTACGACGATTTCGCGACGTCGTGAGGAAATTTCGCAAGAGTCTTTCAATATTCGCCGTTGCGGCTTGCAGAATGCTCGCAGCTGTGTCCTACAGCGCAATAGTCGGCCGCAGACGTGACTGGGCGGTTGCACTTCTGTATACATATATATACAAGGTGTCCGGTAACTAATCGAGCAACCGCCATGTACGAGTAGAACGGGTCAAAATAATCATAAAAGTTATATACCATTTGAAAATTTTCTCAATATTTATTCCGTAATTAATTAAAATATAAACGAATGAGTTCACGAGAAGCAGTAGAACAGGCTCTGTGTGTAAAAGAAATGGCTACTTCTTAGCAACGATGAGTAAACAGCTGATTTCGAGGAGGAGTAACAAACGACATGTATACGTTACTCCGCCTCGAAATCAGCTGTTTACTCATCGTTGCTAAGTGGTAGCCATTTCTTTTACACACAGAGCCTGTTCTACTGCTTCTCGTGAGCTCATACGTTTATACATTTTAATTAATTACGGAATAAATATTGAGAAAATTTTCAAATGGTATATAACTTTTATGATTATTTTGACCCGTTCTACCCGTACACGGCGGTTGCTCGATCAGTTACCGGACACCCTGTATATATATGCTCTCTTCCGTGTGCTCTCTCGTTTACTTGGAAACATAAACACCGACGATAGTCGTGTGTGATTCCGCCAAGTTACTTGAGGATGAGGACAGAAGGAGGGAATGGAGCCCGACCGATGAAACGAATGGCGCATAGAGTGAACACGTGGCGACATCGGCCAAGCCCGACTCGAGAGATGCAAGTCCGAAGCAACGCTGCCTCATTTTCCGCGATACTGCATTTTTCCGTTGTAAATTCCGACGCACGTCGCTCCCTTTGTCCTACAAGAATGCGCGTCGCGCAATTACGTTGAGCGTAAATAAAACGAGGAGTCTCGAGCAACGACGCGTTATAAACCAACTCTTTGCCAATAAAATAGATTGTGCGCATCCAATTGTTTTTAAATGCTGAGAGGAAAGCCGCAATATAACGAGGAGAATATTCAAAGGCCTTAATTTTCATTGCTCGACTTTAAACGTCCTGAAAAACCAACAAACGGAGAAATCGTTTCGAGCTCACAGTCGCGTGAGGAATTAAGAATGTGCATTTAGTTTGCTGCGTCGTTCAATTCAACGCTTTATATCCGCGGAATAAATCGCTGCCGCGGCCGGCGAAAGAAGAAGCGACAAATGTCGATTTTAATTACTGAGGGAGGTCGTGCCTCTCGCGCAAAGACTAAAAACTCATAACTCATTCTGAAACAATGTACACGTGCATGCGCGCGGTGCATTCCTCAGCGAGATACACAGCGAAAGTAGCGCGCTATAAATTACATTTAACACTCTGTATAATCCCTTATTATGTCTTTTTAGCGAGAGGTTTTTAGCTCGCGAATAGATTAATTCCTGCCATGCGAAAAGATTAGAGATCTGTCGCTGTTGGCGACACGCAAACACGATAAGTGACGTATCGCGGACGACGTTGACCAGACGGGACAGGTGTTCGGTGTGATCGACGAATTGGTCGATGTGAGCGTATATTACAATGTGCGAGCCGGCTCGTAGACGTATTCATACACGCTCGACGTCCTCGATACACTATTGATATTCAGATTCCATGGAGGATATCAGGAAGCTGCTTCGTCGAGGTAAGCCGATTGGCAGCGAACCGTCAAGCATCCGCATCGTCTGCCAATCAGCTTACGTCAAGGTATTGCACGGGTACATATACACACACGTATCCGGGCTCGTGTCCGGACTGGATCGTCCTCGTACGCCCCATGGTGCATCTTGCGCGCAAAGGCGGCTTAAGGAAACCATCCAGGATATTTGTAGCCCCCAGCACGTGCTCGAAAGGTGTCGACTAAGTCCGATGGCTTGACTCGATAAGCCAATAAACCATGGACTCGAAAGATCGAACTCTCCCTGCTTGATGGGGAAGGATCAGAGCGAGGGGGCATCTCGTAAAGGGTGGGCGATAAATAAGGGGTTGCGGGGAGGTTGCGGGGAGGCAACAAAACTCGTGAAGTTTTAACGGCGCACCGGCGAGTCATTGGCCGTTAGTAAACGAAGCATGTGTTGGAGAACGGAAGGCGGGCTATATTATTCCCGAGTAGTGAACTCCCAGCGAGTCTGCGAGCCATTAGCAACGCTAATTCTCCCTATATTTACTCGCTGCCAAAGAGTGAGGTTACCCTTTGAGTGAACGTAGAAACGATCGCAGCATTTGCTGAAGCGCGGTCTGTGTCACGTACGCGTAAGATACAGCGTGTAAGGTAAAAATACCAATGCCTGAACACGCACCTAACCCTAGACATTCCTGTCGCTTTGGTCTTTAAATTTATTTTATAATAACCAAAATACAAACATGTAGTAACGTGATCGTCTTACCCTGGTATTGGGTTCAGTTGCTCAGTAGAGCAGGGTTAGAAGGCACATATGAAATATGTATCCTGATTAATAGTTCTAGGATTTCCGCGAGAGATCTCCACAGTTCTCCTACCGGCCCTTAATTACGGGCCAACTTTATCTCGTCTGCCCATATATTCGATTTCAATTATCTTATGAATAGAAATGATTTTTATTATCTGAAATAGTATATCATATGTTATGTATCATATATTATATAGTATATCATATATTTGTAAGAAACTTTATTCTAGCCAGTAACACGTCGCTTATCTTTATTCACTCACGATGGAGTATATTAATACAAAATTCCAAGAGATTCGAAAATTTACTTTGCTACTACTAAATCTGTTCTTTTTTCTATTTTTAACTGTAATATTATTTTGATTTTAACGAAACTCAGCGAAAAATATCTATGTTCCAAAAGGATCATTTCGCGATTTTGTATCCACTATTGCTCTCAAGATAAATACTAAAAAGAGCACATGAATAATATACCCCTGGGGCTATCCAGACCTGGTCTTCTCTACAAGCCATGATTAACTGCGGCAATGAAATTTTTTCTTCCCTGATGGTACTTTTATCTCATGTTAAAAACCTTCCGTTCTTTACACAAAACCTCGAAGTATCGCGACGAATAAAGAATAACTGAAGAATATCCGGCAATATTCCTTTCATAATGAGCTTTATAATTGATTTATACTACATTTCATTATATTTCATGCCGAATCATGTCGAGTTCATCGCTAGAATCAGATCTGCTAAATGAAGACAAGTTACATGTCGAGAAAAGATGTGTTGTTTCAAGAGAAAACACTCGTTTTCGGCGCCTTTTTGTTCCACGCTCGCGGCTAAGACTCGGGTATTCATTGTGCTTGAAAACTGTATAAGCTACCACCCTATCCGTAGTCCTAGCTAACAGTGTATCGCGGCGGGAGCCGAGCCCGAGGTAGCTCAGTTTCTTTTTGCGTAACCTTAACTACGCGCGCGCGCGGATACGCAGCTGCAACGTAAACACACGTAGTTTGCACGCTACTACCTTGCCATTCGACAGCGCGGAAGTTTGCGCGGCGAATCTGCAAGATGTCGGGGGGAGGAGGGGAAGGGGGAGAAGGTGGGTGCGCGCGTCTGCTGTACGTAACATAAATACTCACCGCGTAATATACATACGTGCGAGGGCGCGCAGGACGTTCGTTCATCGTGGTGTGCGACTTGTATGAGCGCACGCCTCTTATCGCTGAGCTGCTTGGTGCACTCGAAGCTCGGGGGATGTAATTATGAGGTCGGAGCAAGCAGGAAGGAGAAACAGACTATAATATGTGTGTGTGTAAAAGAGAGAGAAAGAGAGAAAAAAAGAGAAGGGGAGGGGAGGAGAGGATGGGAGAGAAAGGATGGGACGATAGAGACCGTCTGCCTTGGCGATAGCCAAAACTCACCCTCTTGTTCACCCTCCCGACGCACCACGGTGATGCCGAATAAACGTTCCGTTGCACGACGAAACGCTTCGACTGCGCTTTCTCCTATTTGGTTTTGCCTCGACGGAGAAGCACGCCCTGCTAGAATAGAGTGAGTACATATCGCACAGGGCAGAATATTCAGGAC